AATTGCACTCTTTCAAAGGGTTAAAAGGTTAACTGCACTCTTCCAAAGGGGTAAAAGGTTAACTGCACTCTTCCAAAGTTCAGAGGTCTTATCAACACTCCACAAACATCGTACATAAATACGTGCTAAGCGACGCATCACACACGAAGCACGTGATAGGCGGAGATCTGTCTATCGTATTCGAACCCGGTTACTGTGAAACAGGACGAGGCGACCTTAACCACTAGGCCATCAAGCCGCCATGATTGATAACACGGATAACAACATCCGCAACAGAAATAACAACGACACACACACACACACATACACACAAACACACATAGATACAAACACATACACACACAAACACACACACAAAACACCATTTCTAACCATCTACATTTCGAATCTCAACAATTTGACTTCCGGGTGGAGCTCTCTTCCTTCTGGAGATGGCGACAATCAGACAGATGATGACACAGATGACGACCAGTCCCGCCACAACTAGCAACGATATGTAATCCATTCTTTCAAATGTTGCTGTATGTTTGTGTGTATGCGTGAATCTGTATGTGTGTATGTTTGTATGTGTGGGTGTATGTTTGTATGTGTGTTTGTATTTGTGTGTACGTTTGTATGTGTGTATGTACGATGATGGTAATGATGATGGCACAGATGACGATGATGATGACATGATGAGAATTACCTTGTTGATAAACAAAAATAATAATTTTAGCGCTGATGATGATGAAAACATTACGATGATAAGGTTGAAAATTGTGATGTGATTGATGACGATGATGAAAATGATGATTATTACTCACACTAACTAAACAAACAAACTCCACCAACGACAGCAACAACAGAAACTATAAAGCTACAACAACAACAACAACAACAACAAACAAACAATAGGATGGTGATGAAGATGATGATGAGAATGATGATGAAGATGATGAGAATAATAAAAATAAAAATAAATTACTCTTCGTGGCTTGTGTTGATATGTAAGCAAGCGATGCGTTAAGAAGCATTTTTGGAGTTGTTTCCTGGTTATGCCAACAAAATTTTAGCATTCTTCACTAATAATAAATTACTAAAGTGTTTAAAAACTTAAAATAAAATAGTTTAAAATAGTTCAAGTTTGAATATTATGGGTTAGTTATTAAAATTTGTATTAAATAATAATAAATAAATGAGGATTAATTACATTATTAATTAATTTTAAATATAATTAATTATGAATATGAATGAATTAATCAATGAGATTTTTAGTGAATTTTCAAGATTTCAATCTAACTATCAACATCAAAATCAAATGGAAAAAAAGACTTTATCTTAGTAAAAAATTGATTTGGCAGTTTAACACTAATTAAAAATTAATATTTTTATAAATTGGTTTTAAAAAATTAGATGAAAAATTATTAATAAGACAAAATAAAAAATTAATCATTAATAAAATTAAAATAAAATATTTAAAAGTTGATAAATGATTTACAATTATTATTATTATTACTATTATTCAGATAATTATTTATTAATATTATTATTATTCAGATTCACTCACCCTAATAATAATTGGCATTTTTTCATATTAAAAACAATTTAAAACCAAAATTAAATTATTTAGAAATAAAAATAAATAATTAATACTGATATTTGTTGAAATTTTCGCAAAATTATAGCACCGCCATTTGTGACTTTTAATCAGTTTACCGGTTAAGTTAACTTTTAAATGTTACAGGTAAAAAAAGACACTAAATAAAGAGTTAGTATTCAGAATAAATAACAACATTACATAACAAGGATTTTTTATAGTGATCCAAGAAGACTAAGCCTGTGATAGGACCACCAATAAGATTTTTTTCAAATATCCTACTTTTGCGAAGTTTGTTTTTAAGTTATAAATTGTTTTTGCGCATATTATTTCATCTCCAAGTATGTTCCACTCGTTGACGACTCTGCAGCTGAAATATTTTTGCTTTATCGATTCGGAGCTTTTTCGATTTCGGATCTTTCATTTATGTCTCCTTGTTTTACTGTTCGTCTTAAGCTCAAAAATTTTGCGGATTCCAAATTCTTCTTTATAGTGATGATTTTGTATGCCTGAATCAAACCTCCTCTTGTTCTTCTTTTTTCTAATGTTGTCAATCCACTAACTTTTAATCTGTCTTCATATGGCATACCGCGGCACTCCTTTATCATTCTCGTTGCCCTCCTTTGAATATTCTCGAGCATATGTTTGTCCTTTTGTAAATCTGGATTCCAAAGCTGAACACAGTACTCCAATTTAGGTCGAACCAATGCTTTATATAAGTTCAATACGACGATCATATCTCTGCTTTTTACTGTTCTTTTTATCATACCCAGAGTCCAGTTTGCACTAACCCGTACGTTAAATTAGATAAGTCACCAAAGCGGTGATATTTTGATTTGATAACTTATACGAATTTACTAATAAGTTAGATACGATGATTATTAACAATGCTTTAAAACATAATATATGCTGCTTTGGCTTAAC